ACAACGGTGTACCAACACTACGCAGACAGTGAATGACACTGATGCCAACAGAACGTGTAAGCAGTAATGATTGTCATAATTCCATATCAACTACAATCAAGCATGGAGTGTGAGTGAGTGAGTTTGGATTTACGCCGCTTTTAGCAATATTCCAGCAATATCACGGCGGGGGACACCAGAAATAGGCTTCACACATTGTACCCATGTCGGGAATCGAACCCGGGTCTTCAGCGTGACGAGCAAACGCTTTAACCACTAGGCTACCCGACCGCCCCATCAAGCATGGACACTAACAGACTTGTGTGATGTTGTGAATGTAATTCTTTGCAATGAGCAGTGATGGTATAAGTACCTGTCTTCATAAGTGCCCGGTGATAGCACTGAGATGTAGTATTCAATTTAACGAATTTTCATGCACATTGGTGCCGCACATAGACTAATACAAATCAAATCTACTACATAAGATGTATATGTGTTTAACGATTGCATTGTAACCATTTTGGAATTCGAATCCAGCATGAAGAGCCAACGCTATAAGCAATTGGCTTACCCATCTTCCTGAGAGCATTTTAATAAAAGGCGCGACCGAACTACCAATAGTTTTGTGATTTATCGCTTATTGTAAAGAAATAGTTCACCAACACACTCGAATCTTATTTCATTAATTCCTGTCCAAGAAAGTTAACGATTTTGTCAACATATAATAATTTCTCAAATCCGAGGTGTTACTTTAAGGCGCAAGATAAGATTTTGTTGAGAGTTCTGATATCCTACTCTGTGTTTTACCTACTCAAATGTGTCAGGTACAGTAATGGAGCACTTCAGTGTCTGTATTTGCGCAGTTTCGTCAAGTTACAGCGCAGTCAGTGTAGTGTAGTGTTGTTGCTATGTTATGGGGAAGGCCAACCCAACTGCATTTACACCTAAATGTTAGTTCACAGCATGCACATAGTAATAAATCCGTCACATTAGCTGACTCATGGGGCTATCTCCTTCGTCGTTAAGATACACTTTACATTGTCTTCGTGCACAGTGCGTAAATATTCTGAACATATCCTTTTCCTGTCATACAATCAGTACACCTACATAGTGATCTCACATGTAGTCTTGAAACACTCAACAACCTAATCTTATATCATGACTTTACAGCTCTGTCCTTGTGGCCAACAGTAAATCATGCATTTGATAAGGTCATTGTGGGAAGTTTATATTTATCTGTTTAAGCACACAGGTATATCATTGGTATCAATCATGCAATTTATCCAAAATATCGTGATGTTAATGTGGTGTTTTAAATTTTGAAGACATGCAATGTGGTATGGCACATTCTCGATAAAACTAAAGCAACAGATCTAGATTACGATACGAAAAATACACCTGTTCTGTATTTGAGGTCAAAACCAAACATGCACTGTGAATGCCCATTCTTATTTCGTATTATAATATGTATATTTTAAGAATAACGGTTTAATGTGTGCGAAAGCATGTTGATGACGACGTTACACGCTTAAAAATGTCTCGGAGACACCATCTTGATGAACGGACAAAATAGCATAATGTTAGTACGACAACGTGAGGAGGGCAATGTCCCAAGTTGCCCGAATGTTTGGCAAATCAAGTGTAAGTTCTCGACTGTTGACCCAGTAATGTCAAACGGGCGGGGTTGCAACGAGAAGTTGGCGTGACGGGCCTAAAAAACGACACTTAGACGATATCGTTGTTTTTCATTAATTGCAATATGCAAAAGATTCAAATCTGCTCCTGTTAACAAAAGAAAATTCCGTACAATTACAGGAAGGAAAATTCCAACATCTTCTGTGAAATAGGTTCTATGCAGCCCGACTTAAGCAGGACGTCCCATGAATAGTGTGACCATAACTGTTTACCATAGAAGGCAAATAAAAGGGTGGGTTAGCCAACAGCAGGGACGGGCTGTACGCGTTACACCATGTTTACAGAGGAATCGAGGTTTTACCTCCGATTCACAGATGTCAGATTACAATGCCAGACCACATCGTGCCCAGGTCGTCACCGAGAAGGCATGAGGGCATTGGACTGACCCCTGGCATGTCCCCAATATGGCATCTTTGGGACGTCCTCGGGCGGAGGGTGTATGCCAGAGACCCAGCACCCTTCAACGTGGTTCAGCTTGGGGTTGCTCTTCAGGCGGAATATTTAATGGGGGCCAATCCAAAGGGCGACCACACGCAAGTTAATCAACAGTATGCCGTCAAGGTGTCAAGCACTTATCGCCGAGCGAAGTGGACAACCCAGATATTGATCTACACACTCGAAATTATTTAACAGTGATATGTCGTCATTACACCTTCACTATCATATCAGCAGTTCCCTTATTTTTGTCGGTAGTATATTATAACTATTGTATGACAGTAATAGCAAGACTGTTGCTCAACCTATCTGCAATCCGGCACCCGCATTGGGTGAATAAAATAAATATTTAATGATGAGTTGATATAACCTTCCACATGGAAACCCAGTGCATGACTGAGTGAGGTTACCTTTCACTGATTCAGTTATTCGAACCTATATCACTTGATCGTGTTGTCAGTAAGTCCGACGAGAAGCAGGTCCGAGAAGTATACCTCCCGCACTAAGCTGATACCCCGTGGTATAACTGGAATAACAGCATTAAAAACCAAGCTCCCTCACTCACTCACGCATCCTTTATCAGGATATTCATACTTTGCGAAAACAGTATCTTTCCTACGTTGTTGTTACATAATGGTTTTAATAACTGACCCACAATAACAAAATTACAATGTATCCATTGTTTTGTGTATGTGTCCTACAACCTTACAATTAAGTACATTTAACATTGTGGTTTGAACCAACGCGTTCCAACCAAATTGACCTGGCACATGTTTACAAGGGCAATTTTACATGTACTTTGCCAGTAATATTGAGACACATGGTAAACTTCCATTCCGTCAGCTATTGATAATATATCATGGTGAGTAAGAAAACGAAGCTCACTTAGTTTTGACTTTCACACTAAATTTGCAAAAAGGCAATTTCAATTCTCTTAAAAAAACGTCATCCCTAAAGGTTGTTTATGCTGTCGAGAAACTCGTCTTGTCGCATTCATTTAACACTGCGGAACAAAGAAATAACAAAGGAAATCCCCCGCGACAGTACAACAACATAACGGTACGTTATCAGGAGAAAGAGGGCAATTGAAAGTACCATAACCGGTTAGAAAACATGATGTACGATTCATGATCAGTCGTAATCTTGCTGTCGCGACCTATTGCCGTTCCGGGATATCACGCTAGTATCCCCTTAATTATGTGCTGTCATGAGAAGGGCAGACTTAGCGACAATTCGTGCTTGCGCTTAAAAGTTTCCATGGTTTGCTTCTGAGCAGTGATCGCTGTGTGCCTTAAATCACAATTCAAATCACAACACATGACAATTTTGAAGATTCGTAGCGCGGGTTCGCTCTCGGTTTCAAGCATATCTATGCTGCGCACAAGTACTGCTTGTGTCGTAATTCTTTATCATCGACTTTCTCCAAACAGCAAAGGACTTGTCTGGGCCTGTTATACATTGACAACCCTGCTGAACATAATGTATTGAAATAAGGTACGTAGCCGGACAAAATGGACATCACAGAAAAACATGAATGCGTCTTTTACTTTACTTCCTTATTTCTTTTAAAGTGCAAACCACTTTCAACCGGAAATGTACAAAACTTTAACTACGATTAGACATGTTGATAACGATTTTGTACTGAACGACTTAACGTAATGTATTACTTGTGTATATAAATGTTACAGTACGGTCAAAATCAGTGATTTCTTTTAAACGTCCTGCCGTATGCATTCATATCTTATAGGTTAGTGCAGATATTAAAATTATGCATGAGAATTTTCTAAACATTTTCCGGAAGTGCTTTTTCAGACAAAACTGAAATCCTCTGCTAGGGCACGTACAGTGTCCGGTATCTATTTTGCAGTTGACTGTGTATGAACATGTATATTGCGTGATTATATTGCGTGATTGGATACCTCTTTCTGTCATAGACTTAGGGGTAAGTGATATTACGAATGTATAAATAGTCATACATATTTGTGTACAATTGACAGTATTGTTTTATTTGATTTCCCGCGGCTTTGAAGTATATCCAGGGACAGACATTGACTTAACTAAAGCATGATATTTGAACTCGCTATATTCAGATTGACTGAAGTAATAACCAAAACGTCAATCGTTCTAAAACCTCAATAGGTTTCGTCATATTTACATTGTATTATATCTGTTTTGCCGTTCCATATATGTGATATTTAACAGGTGATTAATCAATTATTCTGTTAAGTTGAAGAGGGTATAGTATGTGTACTAAGAAGACGCTTGCGTATTTACTAATGAAGCACTATATTTATCTGAAAATGTTTCACTTAAGGGAATGATACGATGCTAAATCACTCGAGAGAAATAACACTTTAAACCAGAACTACTTTTACAATGAAATGAAAAATAATTCATGACGGTGGTGACACGTGGTCACAAGCAATGTTGCGTTTCCTATTTGACACTGTATACTGCATTTTTGTGGTTTGTTACATCACTAACATCATGACAATATTTCAATTATTCACCAGATACCAAACAAAGCAGGGCAGGCGCACCCAATAACGTGGAGCTGTTGGCTTCTTTGTAGATGTACCAGCAAGTTGCGTAATAACAAGTCCTGCCTGTAACGAGTTACATATCTGTGTGTCTTTTTGGGTGTGACAGACACATGTGCACTCGTCTATGACTTGGTGTTATGATTCAAAGGACTAATGGAGATATTGATCCGCTGGGAATAATTTCTGGGACTATTTTCAGCGGACATCTTACGTGTCTTTGTATACTATCTCCTTATGATGTGACTCCCTTGTAGACTGTTGTCCTCCGTTGTATGGCATGTTCTCCGCGTTGGTATGCCGTCATCTGATCGACGTATGCATGTGACCTGCTCCAACAATTCGGTTTGTCCAAAAGTTTAATATTGAAATTGTCGAGATCACGTTACTGTTATGTTCGGGCCATGTGACACAACATTTCGGTGCTATGGAGACGGGCCTTACAAATAGGGGGACGCACTGATCTCATTCGCAGAGTATCTCCGTCCAGACGCAGAAACGGTTCTCAGGCAAACATCGCCAGTCATGTTTAAATTTGGTGTGATAGCTTTTCTTCTAGGTAGGTCGTTTATTCGCTCAAATTGATAATAATTATGCTAGACAATTGAAATTAATGTTTTGATTTGTGAATATTAAAAGTAACCCTATTCAGACTAATTCAAGTCTCAATAGCAACGGCAGACGGTATATATATATATTCTGGAAATTTACGATCTTACTTTTTTTGTCATGGTTATTACAATTCCGCAGATGTATTTTCTTATTAACATATTATTCAAGGGGTGGATATCTACACTGTAATCATAAAAGAACCATCTGATGCCGATGTTGAAGTAAAGTTGACATATGGTTTAAACAGAACGGGTAGGCTGCTGAATCGCCGGTTCCACGTATATTGTTGTCATCATATATACTGGAACTCAGATGAATACATACTGGGAAACGTTATTTCTTTCTTGTACATTACAAACTGAAGAAATGTATTGTAGTCGAATTTTTCGTTCTTTAGATACATTGGCACAATTGTTCGTAAGAGGCGTCTAACGGATCGGGTGGTCAGGCTCGCTGACTTGATTGATGCATGCCATCGATCCCAATTGCGTAGATGGATGCTCATGATGTCAATCACTGGATTGTCTGGTCCAGAATCGATTATTTACAGACCACCGTCATAGAGCTGGAAGATTGCTGAGTGTGGCGTTAAACAACAAACAAACAAATAATTTTTAAACAATTCGCTTTGTAGTCATTGAAGCTGGTCATCAACTTATCCCTTACTGCCACATTACCGTATCATTTGACTCTTGCTGTCTTTGGAGGCACGGGTGTCCCAGTCGCCTAAAGGCGCGGCGATTCGCTGTGCAGAGTTGCATCCCTTGGCCTTGCCAGAAACTTATGATTGTTGGTTCGAATCCCGGTTCACCCCGATTATGTTTCTAGGTTTGTCAGCGCCATACCCGTGCTCGTGGGTTTCACCGAAGTGGTAAACGTCTGAGGCCTGCATCACTTCGAGATTTCCTCCCACATTAAGCTGACACGCCAGTACTGGAATACTGTTGAAAGCGGCGTTAAACCCAACTCACTCACTCATTCACTCACTCACTCACTCACTCACTCACTCACTCACTCGATGTCTTTATACTCTTGCTAGATTTCAAGATATGGAAATGTTTTAACAATTTAATATTTTCAAAATTAGTGTAAACTTTGATCTGGGTTGGATTATATCAAGTACTAAGCTATTAAAGTGGCATATGTATTGGCATGTCACCATTAAACGAATATATGCACACGTCTTGTGTGGAGTGGACATCAAGCCTGCAGCTTATCAGAACAGGACAAGCCTATAAATAAGGCCTTGCTTCAGCTCTTATAACATGAACAGACTTTATAATACTACTGGCAGTGAGCGACGTGAATCCCCTCACGTCAAGGGATGAGATAAACAGTGTACTCGACAACCGTCGTTAAATGTGCCATTTATTATATAGTGATCTCAAAGTAGGTGTTCGAACCGTAACCCTTTTACGACCAACCCACTTCTATCATGATGCATACAGGAGATATCTACATAGTCCTAAATCTATCAACGGAAAGAGACAAAGGCTCGTAGGGACCATTCTTTTCCCCAAATGTATGATATTTACGATACAAATGCATGCTCGGATAAAAGTCTTTATCAGATATGAGTAGGTTTCTCGGCAGGATAAAGCCAACGGATAAAAACGATATCCGTTGGGGTCATATGCGGATATTTACCATCCCAAAACACACTCACGTGATAACCTCTATCTATTTACCATTTAATTGTGATATGTCTAGGTCTGAGTAAGTTTTGTATTCACATTCGCTGGTGATTCACCGTGATCATGCTTGTACATGATCTTTACACGTTTACATTTATTGTTTATTATACCGAAATAAGTTTTGAAAGCATACAAAATGCAACGTAATAAATTCCCAAGATTTAACATTACATTCTAATATCTAGTACTTTGTTATTTCGTGTCTTCACATGACTTTGCACGGTATATCCCCTAGGTTTTTGTTCTCTGGTAGATAAATGCTAATTAACAGATAGATGCGATCGCGTAGAAAAATATGTGTTTTAATCAACACATCGATTAAGAATTGTTTAATGAATAGCATGATCATGAATAACATTAACACATGTTCATCGTAACAGATCAAAGTCCATAAAGATGTCCTTCAATATATCCCTATACATAAGTGGTTATATTATAACAAACAGAACTTTGAGCTGGATTCTTCAACAATGATAATTCAGCAGAAAGACAACATAAAACTAAACTGTTCTATGTTTTTGGAATTAGTTTGAATTGACGGGACGGGAAAACGTGTCCATTGAGAAATATCCTCTCCGAAATAAGTAATATAAAAATCGCCTGTGATTTTTCAAATTAGATGAGATTTCATTTTATCATATAATGGATAGGTTTCTCGGCAGGATAAAGCCAACGGATTAAAACGATATCCGTTGGGGTTATATGCGGATAGAAATGCAAATATCAAAGGTCAAGTAGGGACTACTTTCACTGTTAATAAATAAACATGGCGTCGCCCTCGTCATTCGGCGATCGAGTCAGAATTAACCATCGGGAATGTGGAGAAACTACAGCGATAATTGTTATCATTATGAAAAGAATAGTCTAATGTACTGAAAATCAGTGTCTAACTGTGAAGTTGCTAAGGCATTTTACAAGTTTTGGCAACTTTGGAGATATAATTTGCGAAACAATTTAGCGAGGGCACTAGCCAAGCGGGATCACTTTGCATATCTGTTCATGTACACCTCTGCGGCTTGGAACCTTTTCCACAAATTTAAACAGTTGGGTTTGGCCGAAATATGGTCGAATTGTTATCTTGTTCGTTTTGTCGCTGTGGGTACATTTGGCTGCACTTCTAACGTTATGACAAAACAGGCCGACTGTCAACAACGACTGACCGTGGCCGTGACGTCTCAGAGTCTAGGGTTAGAGTAGCTTCCCTTTGACAAAGGGCAGTTACTCTAGCGGACAGACTGATGGATTGCCGCGAAAGGCAGTTAAAAACAATTGTTGTTTTGCGTATATGTTACTTCGCCACTGCATAAGAAACAGATTCCAGTTGGAACTTTATTGGCCACTGTCACTGTACGTCTGACACATCACTTACCCTCTGACGGAATAAATATTAATGCGCGCATTCCTGGAAAACTCGCAATGTTTCGCTAATGTTTGTGAGAGAGGGAAAGCGATTTTGAAGCACAGAATTAAAGAAAGACATTAAATGATTAAGAGGTTATCACGCTTGTGTGTTGGGGATGGTAAATAACCTGTATTAGTAATAAACACTATGTTCGGCTCGCTAAATACAATGTTTATTCCTAATGCAGGATATCTACCATCCCCAAACACACTCGCGTGATAACCTCTATGTATGCGCTAGTACCGTGTATGCATTCGTATACATTGAAGTGTGTCAAGGGTATACGTAGCATACTTTTGCGTACGCAATAAACTGTCTGGGATTTGTATTGTTGTCACCAAACACACCATAACATAGTCATGACTTGCTTTTTTTTTGGTGTTTTCAGTCTGCCTCCCCAAAACTATGGCGGACACATGTAGCACTTGTAAAAGTGCGTACGATACAGCCAAGGGTGATGCTGCAGACGATAGCTAAATGCGCGTAAGTCAACTTTAACTAAATGAGGCTACTGCATAACATTTCATGTTTATATGTCACGTAAGGTTTATTTTGGCGATAAATCTGTTACATTTTCAATTGATATATTTCGTACGAAAATCTCTTTCCATTTTACCTAGCTAAAGTTTGAGAAAAACACGAATTCTTTCGTATTAGTGAACGTGATGAGGGATGTGGTGTCGCGTGAATCTAATATTTGCAATAAACATGAAATTGTTGAATACAGTGATCACTGCCGATTGTTTCTCATACGTTCGCTTTCCATTATTTTGCCCGCAATACATCACCGTGGCGGAGCCATCAGCTCGGAGGTAGCTTCGATACCATTTTGGGGCTAATCAGAATGTAGGATCGTAAAGTGTGGAGGTAGAGTCATGTTATTGAAAGAGCATGTTTTGGGGACAAAGGTCATGTGAGTGATATAGGAGGCACTCATATTTTAGAGCAAGCGAACCATTTCACAGATGATATTAGTTCAAAGAACAAGATAATAAGTTGTATTTGTCAGTTAGGTCACCGACCGATAAAAACGTTAAACTATTTCGATTTGCAATATTTTAATGTCTGAGGAGAGCATGGTCCAGGGTTAAACACCATGATAATACCTTAACTTAACTTAATTCAACAATGAAATCATATATAAAAAAGTATATACTATCGATGCTACATACTTTTCGGTTTTAATTACTATTGTCACAATCACTGACAAAGTTATACCAGATATGATATTTACTATAAAAAAACAGCCCCTTCGACAAAGTGCATATTTATCAACTTCTTAGTGCCATCTATTTTTGTCTAAGTATCGAGGGTGCAGGCGCCGCGATTCGCTGTGCAGAGTTGTGTCCCTTGGTCACGCCAGAAACCTATGATTGTGGGTTCGAATCCCGGTTCGCCCCGATTATGTTTCTAGGTTTGTCAGCACCATACCCGTGCTCGTGGGTTTTTAACCGAAGTGGTAAATGTCTGAGACCTGCATCACTTCGGGCTTTCCTCCCACATTAAGCTGACACGTATAACTGTATTACTGTTAAAAGCGACGTTAAACCTAACTCACCCACTTACTCTAAGTATCGATCTCTGTTCATTGGGACTACAAAAAGAGACCACTGGTAGGAACCGTCATGAAACCAATACCACGACGGAATAGAATGATGTACAATTCTCTAAATATTGTTGTGATGTATTGGTGTGGTCCAAATATTGTTGTGATGTATTGGTGTGGTCCAAATATTGTTGTGATGTATTGGTGTGGTCCAAATATTGCTGTGATGTATTGGTGTGGTCCGAATAGTGTTGTGATGTATTGGTGTGGTGCTGGCACGGTTCCTTTTGTTGTGATGGCTTTTCATCGTAGTTTCATAATGGTGATCTACCCTACTGCCGAGTCTTTGAGGGACATTTTTATTCGTATCTTCGCTGGTCATTAGGACATAAATATTAAGTGACGCGTGTTATTCATCGCGATGTAGTGATGTCATAATATCATATTGTGACGTGTCTGGATCTTGTGTTATCAACTTGTCCTGTGGTGATATTAATGTTTCATGCACAGAATCGCTCTGCCTGATGATCCCAAGCATTATTTCCAAAACATAAACGGTAACATAACAAATATTAACATTTCAAAGTATTTGGAGAGTACTAAAAACATCATTGGTGAGAACGTAACACATATAAAGTAATGAAACCATATTTTCATGTTTATGCTATAAATACATGTCTATTTATACTGTTCAATAGGACCAATTTATTGTTCAAATATAAATATTATCTGTCAGTGTGATAGGGACACATTTTACCTGTCTGGAGAATTCAACGTATCTGTCTGTGGACATTCATTCACAACAAGCAGTCAATAATGTGCGCCATCACGACGTCACAATCACACACCCTGAAACCATCATATGACGAAACAGAATCGTTCTAAGATTAATGTTGGGGTATATTTCTGTGGTGCTGGCACGGTTTATTTTGTCGTGACATCTTTCGTCAGGGTAACAAAACGGCGAACTACTGAGCTTATTTCATGACGTCGAAGAGCCAAACTTTGCCAAGATCGTATTGTCGTTATGTCAATTTCTAGCGTATTGTCACAGGTCAGTATGTCATTAATAGTATGTGACGCAGGTCATGCATCGCTATGTTTTGGTTTGGTTTGTTTGTTGTTTAACGCCGCACTCAGCAATATTCCAGCTATATGACGGCGGTCTGTAAATAATCGAGTCAGGACCAGACAATCCAGTGATTGACAACATGAGCATCGATCCATGCAATTGAGACTGATGACATGCATAAACCAAGTCAGCGAGCCTGACCACCCGATCCCGTTAGTCGCCTCTTACGACAATCATAGTCGCCTTTTGCGGAATGTATGGGTCGCTGAATATCTATTCTAACCCGGATCTCCACGGGCGCATCGCGATGTAGTGATGTCATGATATCGTATCGTCTTGCGTTGTCAAGTTGTTATGTTGTGATGTTATAGTGTAATGCACAGACTCTCTCGTGCTGCCACCACATCAGCATTATTTCAACCACATTGTGTCGAAGAAGGACAGTACGTACAATAATCGGTAACATATCATATATTGCAAATTTGAAACTAGTCGGAGATTTCCCAATATATTTATCTATAAGAAGATGACACCATTAAAATTAAGCCACAACAATATCACGTTCAGTGTAAAGATTGTCTATTTAAATTTCATGGGAGTTTGTCAAATGTCATGTTCAAATGTCAATGTCATATTTCTTTCATAGTGCGCTTGTTACATATTTGCACTGTCTGGAGGGGTCAGGGAAAGACGCCGCCGGGTGTCCGCTCGTAACTGCTGATGCCGACGCCATAGAGTTTGATTTTACCGGCGCTTCTTGTAGCACGGGTATGTTTATTTATATAATTAGTTTGGCCACAATAATAACCTAAAACATTCGTATGTTACGTATATATATTACGACTTGCGATATATATGGTTGAGGGTTGGGCGATGTTGCCAGTTAATGATTGTCTGTGCAGAGTGCTCTTTTTGTGTTGTATAGTTGCGGCATTTACGGACATCTGCATATGTCAGAAGGAATTCTGGTGGACCGATCAAAGTGCTGGTAATGCAGCCATTTGCAGGTTATCGCCACATGCTGTTAAATATCTTGAACAATTGACGATTCTCCTCATATATAAATATATATAAAGTGATGATAGAAGGGCATTTTCACAACTTAGATATGTCCAGTAAAATAGGTAACATATATAGTAATGTGTTCACATCTTCGTCTTATGTAACGTCCATTTTCCCGCCAACAACAATGGTTGTCAAGTTGACATTTTTATATCCACAGCGCCGCCACGGCTTACATCGCGTGCTTGAAGGGGAAGACAGCATTGGCCTGTGATGCTTCCACCACTGTTGTAGCTCTGGCTACTGGCGTCGAGACCAGGATAACAGCTCTGGGAAGCACAGACTGTGGTGTGTTCAAAACATCATCTAGCTTAACTCTTTCACTACGTGTTGAGTCATAATAGTTAGTCATGTAAACACGCACTGACCAATAGCAGAACGGCATTAAGGTCCGCTTACAAAATAACCAAATACGAATGCAATATTAATAGTTATGAAATGTAGATTGATTGCAATCACACTACAATGTTTAAAACGTACTGAGGTCATATTGTCATTACTTATTGATGATTTTATCCAAACCATCTTGTTATCTATTGTCAGCTAAAGCAGACATCTCCTCTGATGCCACTAAGTGCACGTGAGTTAAGCTCAAGTTCATTCATTGCCAAAACATGGCGGTTATCAAAATCAATCTTGTTATTGCGGCAGTGTTTACTTCGAGGTTTTAGGGTTGAATTTCAGACACAGCATGTTTTCTTTCTTGTTACACGAATGATCCATTTTTGTTAGACTGTTGTTGAAAGCAGCACTTAACAATAGTCCAGCTATATGAAGGCAGTCTGTACATAATCGATGAGCATCGATCTACGCAATGGGATACCATGACATGCAGCAACCAATTGCAAGTAGGCAAGTCTGACCAGACGATCCCGTTAGTTGCCTCTGTCGACAAGCATGAATGTTCTCGGGGGAGAGTGGGAGAGTTATTTTATGCTTTAACCATTTAGTAAGTTTTCTTTATTCAGTAATAACAACAGGGAGTTCTCAGACACAACATGGCATCAAAGTTAGTCTGGCCACGACTCTATTCATGAAATGACAGAGAAGACAAATTTTCGGAATAACTAACAGCCTCGACAGCAAATAAAATTGTACAAACTACAGTCCCGAAGGCAATAGGGCAGGAAGTACTAGACTCAAAAGGATGCACACATCTCAAGACAAACCATACAAGCATTAATGATCATGACTAGTCGCCCCAAAGGGGACTACCGTGTGTCAATATGCATAATGGCCCGCGAGGGTACGCAACATCGTGAGCCAACCCAAATTGCAATATCCAGACTGCAAGTATTCCGCCGTGAATAACAAACTGAAAGGGAAAGATCGACCCGTCGGGCACCAAACCTTTATTGACAGTAGGATGTACATGTATGTCATATATAAAAAAATAACATTGTGCAAAAATGACCATCAACTGATTTCCCTCTCTGGGTGGTAACCACAATGCATGGGGTTTCACTCTATGTCACTTTAAATCACATATTACATACATTTTACCCGTACATTTCCGTATAGGTAACAATTTTAAAACTTTTACGCATATAGGCGATACCATTGCCACATATTCGTTTGACCTTTGAAGATCCGGGTTAGAATTGGTATTCAGGAAACTTTGCTTGTCGTACGAGGCGACTAACGGGATCGGGGTCGCTGACTTGGTTTATGCATGTCATCATATCCAATTTCCGTAGACCGATGCTCATGTCAATCACTGGATTGTCTACTCCAGACTCGATTAATGTACAGACCGCCGTCAACTTGCTGGAATATGTCTGAGTGCAGCGTTAAACATTAAACAATCAAAACGTACATGTATGTTTTCTTATGGTTACCATACCCTTATGAATCCATCTGTGATATTGAGGCGTAATAAATGTTTGGTTTATTGTTTCAAACACACTTGAGATGCAAGAGACACTCAAGCGATTGATATAAGGAGCAACGATCCACGCCGATGGGTTCGACGCCACGTAATCAACCAAGTCTTGGGACCTATGTTATCCCAGAATTCCAAAGGGGGGTGGCACTATGTATCCTTGAACATACCAGTTAAGAAAATACAGAATAGGTTTTCTTTAGTTCATTTACCAGTAGTATTCATTTAGAGTTTACAATCCTTGTCATGTTGGGAAATGTCTAGACACTTTAAAAAAAGGACGTTTAAACTATTGCAGTGCTCCACTTTAGAATAGGTCTTCAGCAACCCATGCTTGCCGTAAAAGGTGATTACGCTTGTCGTAAAAGGAGACTATCGGGATCGGGTGGTCAGGCTCGCTGACTTGGTTGATGCATGTCATCGATCCCAATTGCGTGGATCGGTGCTCATGATATTAATCACTGGATTGTCTGGTCCAGACTCGATTATTTACCGACCGCAGTCATATAGCTGGAATAATGCTGAGTTCGGCGTTAAACAACAAACCAACTTTGAAAGACCAGTATCAAGGAAACAAGTTACCATGCGATAACAGAGTAGTTTGTGTTGATTATACTGACCTTTAGCTAATAATGTTGACAGTTATATACACTTATTGGAAGACAATAATGTGCAATGATGCATGAGTGTCTTATATGGGCAATTCGAAAATTTTACCATACTTCCTGCACAAAGTCCGCATGAGATGCATGCTATATTCATTCATCATTTCGTCGCTATGTGGCTGAGTGGTCAGGCTTGCTGACTTGGTTGATACATGTCATCGGTCCCAATTGCGTGGATTGATGCTAATGATATTAATCACTGGATTGTCTGGTCCAGACTCGATTAATTACAGACCGCCGTCATATAGCTGGAATATTGCTTAGTGCGGCGTTAAACAACAAACCAAACCAAACGCTAAGGTGGCTGAAAAAATATGCCGATGCGACGTTAAAATTTGACTCACTCACTCATTCATTTATCGTTTCGGAGAGAAGACTTGCAAACCGAGTAGAATTAAGCATGTGTTGAGACCTGAAACTACATTTCAGTAAGTCATAAAATATATTTTGTCAGATCGCCCTTTCGGTCCATAATAGATGCCATTTGATCCAACAGGACACATATGATCTGGGTCTGTATCCAACATTCATTCAGTCACTTAACTATGATGAGCAAATGGTTGGATGTTGTTTAACGCCGCACTCAGCAATATTCCAGCTATACGACGGCGGTCTGTAAATATTCGAGTCGGGACCAGGCAATCCTTTGATTGACATCATGAACATCGATCCACGCAATTGGGATACGATGACATGCATCAACCAAGTAAGTGACCACCCGATCTCATTGGTCTCCTCTTACGACAAGCATAGTCGGCTTTTCAACAAGTGGTGTTGTGAATAAGATGTGGTGCATCATTATATCCGTAGAAGAAATCACTTCTTATCCTGAGAAGTAGTGCTGTGGCACTGCAGCTCACTTGATGGATACGCCGTCACGATTTACATGTCACGAAGGCAGCCGCTTAACAAGATTTCCTCTCAGCACTGACAGTCAAATTTTTCAGCGTTTACACTGAGGCTGGAAACTATGTCAGAGGGGTTGCGGCTAAGGACAGATGCATGACGGGCAGACCACGACAAAAGCTCGCTTGACTTTCAGTGAAAAAGCTAAATAGTGTATAAATGTAATATACAGAAAAAAGACACACAAAAGTAGTAAAATCGTAAAAAGTTGACATAGTGTTGCCGACATCCACACAAAACTAATACCAATAATGAATTGAAAACGAAACCACGTGAAACACCGAACCACACCAACATGACATGTTGGTATAAAAAACGTTCGTTTTTATTTGCATGCCATCACAGTTTTACAGCAAGTGCACAGCGAATATACGCTACGACTGACTGAAGCCCAACGCAACAACGCCATCGGCTGACTGCAGGAGAATCCTATTCAGCTGTAGCAAGGGTTTTCCACGTTGCACCAAACACCATCACAAGACAGTGGATTCGTTATCAGACACACGGGACAACACGTGACCTTCCAAGATCTGGTCGACTACATATCACTACTAGAGTACAGGACAGTTTCAGCCGACTACGTCATTTTCCTGAAAGAACAACGGTCTTCTCTACAACTTCGGCAAAACCTATGAGTTAGTGAGTGATTATGGTTTTTCGCCGCTTGTAGCAATATTCAAGCAACATCACGGTGGAAGACTCCAGAAACGGGCTTTGTACCCACGTAGGGAATCGAACCCGGACCTTCAGTGTGACGAGCGAACGCTTTAGCCACGCGGCTACCCCACAACCCCTTGGCAATTCCAGGATTGCGTAGGATATCAGCCCTACGTTTCGGAACCGTTTAGGCCCTAGACGACCAGTTCGAGGTGTCATTTTGACGGACCTGAGATGTCAATGTTGTCAACGTCACAGTATGTGGCAACAACTGTGATGGAGATGTTTCGATTGGATGACGATGACAATCACTCTTGAACTCGAATGACGGCTGTACACGATGTTGAGAACCTTCACCTTGAACATCTACTGTTCTATATGTGCCAAGTGGAACCTGGGTCAATGACAATGATGTGTGCCAACTTTCGACAATCAATCTGTTGATTATTTATATGGAATATGAAATATACATCCAATATAACGTTTTTATACTTGCCGGGTATCTTTATCATCCATATCCGAATATAACAAAGTCACAGATAGTTCTTATGATGAGTAATATAAACTGACGTCCAAAAGAAACTTTACCAGAGTTTGAAATCACTCTTGCTCAAAAACAACAAAACATACATGCATGAAGTAAAGTGTATTTAGAAGATCAATATATCAACATAATCAACACTGAAAATGACAATCATACCGCGACCGAAAATGACGTCAGAGCCCCCCGAAGGTGGGTGTGGTACAAAACTCGAGCTTTCAGAATCATGGACAATAGGCAGAGTACATAAACAATCGCTCACGTCCAATAACAATTCATTCGTAACGTGTGTGACCACCAAATGCCTCAATACAGGCAAAAACTCTTCGACGCACAGAAAAAGTCAGTCGTCTGATGAGTGAGTGAGTGAGTATGGTTTTACGCCCCTTTTTAGCAATATTCCAGCAATATCGCGGCGGGTGTCGTCTGATGAGGTCACGTGGGATTTGACGCCATTCCTCTTGGAGGGCCAAGATCAGTTCTTGCCGGATGGCTGGAGAGTGTGGTCGTTATCGAACACGACGATCCATCAAGTCCCAGAGGTGTTCTATAGGGGACATGTTGGGTGAGCGTGCAGGCCACGGCAGGGCGTTGACGTTGTTGGCTGCGAGGAAGTTAGTGACAATTCTGGCAGTATGAGCTCTAGCGTTGTCATGCTGATAAATGACACCACGTGACAGCTGTTGGAGAAATGGTAGGACAACTGGACGAAGAATGTTATCCATGTAACGCTGAGCTGTCAAGTTTCCGTCAACGATGACCAGCGGTGTCCTCTCCTGCCCACAGATACCTCCCCACATGACACTCCCTCTACCATATGGTACGACCTCCTTGCACGCAACACGCTGCCGTTCGTTCACCCCTTCGGCGGTAAACACGTTGTCTTCCATCAGCCCTAAACATACAGAATCGACTTTCGTCAGT